TTGTTGGTCTGATGTAAAAGCACTTTAAAAAAGCCTGACCTGTGACAAGCAGTCTGTCTGCAGAGGGCACCTGTGAGCTCAAGGCCTAATTCTTCTGCAGTTTTTCTTTGTTTATTTTTTTGATCAAATCTATTCAGTCAGACTCTGCCTCACCACCCACAAATCTCTACACTGGTGACACACAAACTGTTCACTCTGGTCTGCATGAAAATAATCGTATTGCTCTGATCACAGTTGTCTCACCAGAACCACCATCACTCCCACCCTCACTGCAGGTTTTGTAAAAATCACCGGCCAGGTCTTATTATTTATGGGCTCAAATACCCAACTGTGTCCTCAACATAAATTAGAAACCTGATCATTTGTGTGTATTTATCATATGTTCAGCAGATGTAAAACATCTCCAGTGTGGATGTATGGGCGTGTGAAGGAGTTTGTCACTGTGTGTGTTTGTCAACATGTTACTTATTAGTGGTGATTAAAATCAAGCACTTTCTGAAGGGAATGCTTTTTATAACGTTTTCATATCTATAAAAACCCTCCCTGAAGCATGACTGGCTTATCAACTTGTGTCATTTAATAGTTCTTTTTTTACGAGTTCTTGTTAATGTCATTTTGAAACATCTTGATTACGCATGATTTTATGGAAATTAGTATTATATACATAAATCCATTGATTGGATTTGTTTGCAGTTCAACTGCTGTATGGATTTGTGTATTTATTACATGTATATCACTTGGTAATAACCTCCCATGTCTGTGTGTGTATCTCCTGAACCATCACACAGATTTTAATGAGCCCATTTAATCAACCCAATTCAAACTGACCACCAAACTGACTGAACTTAAAAATCTAAATGGCTAAAATTTGATCAGATTTGAAGCTTGTGAGCTGAAGTTCTACATGCTAGTAGCTGGGCGCTATCTCCATCACAAACTATGAGCATGTCACATTGTGCAAAATATTTGCACAGAATTTTGTCATTGAATATCCAACTGAGAAACATTGGCTTTTGTAAAAGAAAAAGCAAATTACTTGCATTCCTTGAAGAAATACATATTGCCAGCCTGAAATGACTATTTGCTGTATAGTATTGAATTGTTTTGACTTGTATTATAGTTAATTTACCACTTTAGATTTGTAACACTTTCTACATGATCTCAGTTAATTACAATAGGCTAATGTTTTCCGTGTCTTTATGAGTTCTAAATGGTCAAAACTAAATTTTCTTTTCAAAGTGAAAACTTTAGACCTCTAATGGATTTTCTCCATTTTTTGTCCTGCCAGCATCTATACACACTTCATAAAACACAACATTTTGCATGAAAAAAAAAATCATACCAACATTATTTTTCAAATCAGGCACAGAAGTGTGAGTGTTGCTGTGGTGACAGCTCTGTTTTCAGGAGTATTTACAGCGTGCAGTCTGGAAATATTTGTCCCTGGTGCTTTCCCTGGCAAATCATCCAGCATACTGGAGCACACAAACGCTTGCACTCTTTTTTTTTCCTTTTTCCCCCCTCTCTTGAAAAAGTGAATCATGGCAGAGGATTATAAATATGGCAAACAGACAAACAGTTTGACAACGGAGCCTCTGGAACAGTCATCACTTGCAGAATCTGCTGTAAAGGAAGCTAGACCATGAACTTGCACAAAAAAAGTGTCTTCCAACATTTTATCTCCACACACCATCATTGCCAGCTTGGGTGATCATTTAAGATGTATTGTTAATCTTTTACTATCAGATTCTGCTCATCTCTGGCTTGGGGACAAGCTTTTATTGAAGTGGTTCTACTTTCCTGAGCCAACGGCCTGAGTGACGTTTAATACAAAATATCAGACAGACAGTGAATCGTTGTGGGAGTCACATGAGATAACAAGACTCCATATTCATTTGACTAAGGCTGGACAAAGCTGCTTTTGTGATAGGGGAGTCTCAGTGGTGATCACAGGTCAAGATACCTGCACACATACTGTACCTCTGGATTCCAGCTGGGTCTGTCTAAAGATGAAACCTAATAAACCAAAGTTTGCAGACACAACTGACAAAGTCAATCAATCACAAGCACCTTCCAATACTCCGCACAGCATCACCTACCCCCACCTTAATCACTTCACACATATTGAGCCTGTTTCCAGTTGCAGGAGGAAAGTAGACCCAGAACTAATCAGGAACATGTTGGAGCGTGCTGATTGAGCCGTTAGTCACCAAGAGAAAGAGGCACGGCAGATTTAGCCCAACACAACTGAAAGGGTCACGAAGCAGCGGGTGTGTTATCGTGCGCTCTGATGTCATCGTCACATTAAGCGGTTTTCGGAGCCAACTTTCCAGGMGGGAAATGCCGTGTTTCTCCATCCACATGGGTTCCTCCTCATTTGCATGAGAAAACAGAGGTATGTGCAGGGATTCTGAACCCAGTCCAAACCAGTATCCACAAGGATCTACTCCGATTGGATTCATTTAGTTAAATAAGTAGAGCCAAGTGCAAGTCTRCCTTTAGAAGACACTCTCAAGTCCCTCAAGACTTCTCCAAAGATCTTTACTATAGAAAAACTCTACTGGCTTGCAGGTGAWAAATTGGAACCAAAGCAACAAAAAATTGCAAAAACAAAAACTGCTACTAAAACTTTACACCACAAATCATCTGAACTTGGATTGCTTAACTTTAAAAGTGAAATAAAGTACAAAATGTAATGCTTTTACTAATACAGCTTCTATTAGATCTTAAAGTAATGCAAAAAAGGAGCATAGTCTCCCCAAAATTTACTGCCGAAATGATGCTGCAGTGAAGCAATGCTTTCCTTCCAGTGTCACTTCTTTTCTTTTGAATTAAACACATGGAAATATCTGAGCCAGCAGATAGTTCATCAACAGGGAGCAGGGAAAAAAATACTTTCAGCAAGAAGCAATCTGCAGCTAGAGTGCACATACCTTCCAGCAGCTGATAGGCAGAGGAGTGAAGGCAGCAGAGCCGCAGGAGAAGAGAAAATCCAATGGACCAGGGAGGAATGCTGCACAAAARCACAACTAAAGAGTGAGAAAACTAAACAAAAGTCAACTTTAAATAACTTAAGAACAGGAAAAAAAACTTAGTTTTATTTACCAGGAAGTCATTTTCACTGAGGGTGAGCTTAGATACACATTAAAGTTCCCTTGTTCATTTGTGCTAGAGAGATGGAGCCCACTCTGCCTCCCTCTCACTCACTCCAGACTAAAAACCTCTCACTCTCCTCCTCCTCCTCCTCCTCCTCTTTTTTTTTTTGAACTCTCCTTCTGGTTTCCAGTCAGACAAAGGCAGCTTCAGTGTGTGTCAGGACTCAAGGGGGCTTCGGCTGAGCTGAAATCTGACTCCCTGCGTCTTTCTCCGGACCACTGCTTTCTAATGCAGCCCTCCCCTTCAGACATCACAGCACCAAATGCAAATGAACACACACACGCACACACACACACACACACACACACACACA